ATATAATGGATACAGTTCGCTTTATTCAGGAAAAGATGCCTTCATTAAATTGGTCTCTAGAACATGACACATTAAAAAACTAGGTAGAATATTTCTCAGTAGACCATTTTTTAAAAATAATATGCTGATCCAGCATATGAATAGATCATACACACTTACATATAAATTGATTCAATGTAATTTAAAAATGTTTTATCATATCAAAACTTATCAACTTATCCTACGTCCAAAGATATGAAATGATATCTATATCTCCTGTAGAAATAGACAATTTCTGAACACTAAAACATATTGGAGGCCATCTTGGATTTTCGCCATCACCAAGGGGCGCTGCATACCAGATTTGAATTATATAAAGCAGTGTTGCAATTGATCCTGAAAACGATACTGTGATAAATTATATGAATTGACCAGACAATTATGACATAATCAGTACAAATTAAAGTCATTACAGAGTTCAACTATGTTGGCCATTCATCACCACCAGGGGGGTGCTGCATACTAGATTTGAATTATATACAGGAGTGTTGTGATTACTCCTAAATACATTACAATGATAATGTGTATAATTGGCCGGATAACTATGATATATTGAGTATAGATTGATATCAATGGAGATTTCAGCTGGCGGCCATCTTGGATTTTCTACCACCAGGGGGCGCTGCATACTATATTTGAATTATATACAGCTCTGCTGCAAATCGTTCCGCATGCATTACTATGGATATACGAGGGGTGTTCATTAAAGATTTCCCCTGACCCACTTTGGGTTATCATATTTGGTTGAAATTTCACATGTGTAATGATACATGTATCTATGGGTTATGTCTATATTTGCAGCAACGAACTATTAATCTTACCATTTTTACAGGTGATATGATCGAGTAGGGTGTGACAATAGAGCCAGTAGAATACCGAGCAGTGATTGGGTTTTTATATTTGAAAGGTCGCACACCAAAAGAAACTTTCGATGAAATGAAAGCAACTTATGGGGAAGATGCCCCATCATATGACGTTGTTAAACACTGGCATCGCCAGTTCAAGTGTGGTCAGACATCTGTGGAAACAGCTGCCATTCCTGGTCGCCCCCATTCAGCCATTGATGAGGACACTATCCATCAAGTGGAGACCGCCATTTTGATAGACCGACGTATAACTGTTCGCCAGTTAGCACAAGATGTCAAGATCAGTGTGGGGTCTGTGGAAAAAATCATCCATGACAATTTGAACATGCATAAGGTGTCTGCACGATGTATTCCCAGGTTGCTCACACCTTTCCAAAAGCAGGAACGAGTCAATTGCTCAAAGGATCTTTTGGACATGTGCAAAAAAAACAGGCAACTTTTTTGACAGACTTATCACACAGGATGAAACATGGGTCCATCACTATGATCCTGAGACTAAAGTTCAGTCGATGCAATGGAAGCATGTGGAGTCACCACCCCCAAAGAACGCTCTGCAGTCAAGGTCATGCTCACGGTGTTTGGGGACCAGCACGGAGTAGTGATGATGGATTTCTTGGCAAAGGGTACCACAATTACAGGAGCTTATTATGCTTCACTGCTGCGGAAATTGCGGGACGCTATCAAGCTTAAGAGGCGTGGCATGCTGACCAAGGGTGTCCGTCTCCTGCAAGACAATGCTCCAGTACACAACTCTCATGTTGCCGAGACAGCGCGGTCCTGTGGCTATGAAATCCTTCCACATCCTCCTTACTCCCCTGACCTTGCACCATCTGACTTCCACCTCTTTCCAACCATGAAGTCATGTATTCAGGGAAAACGTTTCACAGATGATGAAACACTGATTTCTGAAGTCAAGTCCTGGTTTGAGACGCAAAATGAGGGTCAGGGGAAATCTTTAATGAACACCCCTCGTATGTATAAATGGATCATATAAGTATGATATACTGAATCTATATTGATATCTTTAGAGATTTCCGCCATGTTGGCGGCCATCTTGGATTTTCTACCACCAGGGGGCTCTGCTGAGGTGGATCCATATCCAATAATGTTCGGTTCTACCACCAGGGGGCTCTGCTGAGGTGGATCCATATCCAATAATGTTCGGTTCAATGTATACGTGTGCCAATTTTGGTGTTTTCAACTCAAAGTGCACATTTAAGCCTTAACCGCCCCACTATAAATACAGAGGCGGGGTCCAGTCGTGTTTAATGCGTCGCAATACGTTGTGCGTATAGAGTTGCTTCCCATAGGCGTGTCAGGATACACTGATCGTGGGTGTTAATGTCAGGTTCGCCCTGGTTATGATCTATCGTTTCCTTACACCACACCCATATGGAGAACTGTCTAAGATCTACATCACTTCGAGCTTAATACTCCAGCATCCGTGAAGATCCCGGTTAGAACTGGTTTTCAGCAACCCATGCATGCTTGTCATAAGAGGCGACTAAGGGACCTACCATTTGATATTCCAGGGGGTCTGGGATTTTGTACAAAACCAGATATACTTTTTTTTATTATCTGAGCCTGGTTTTTTTAAAAGAAAAACGCCTTGCAACTATGTGATTTTTGTGGCAGGCAGTTTCGTTTTTTTCCAACAATCCAAAGCATAATTACTTTCCAAAGAAATTGTCAGGGATATTTTTTCGAAAAAATCCCACTCCACCCCCGAAAATCAAATAGTTGGTCTCAAAAGGGATCGATGGTCAGGCTCGCTGACTTAGTTGATGCATGTCATCGTATCCCAATTGCGTAAATTGATGTCAATCACTGGATTGTGCGGCGTTAAACAACAAACAAACAAATAATTCTTCAGCATGGCGTGGTATAACGGAGATATTGTTGAAAGTTGCCTTAAAACATTACTTAAATAGCACCAATTACACTCACTATAATACACATATCATACAATGGGACCTTCTCTTTATCGGGATCCCAACGGAGGCGCAGTAACGAGGTTGAATTCAGATAATATTGATTTGCATTTACAAAACAATTTACTGAAAAAGTCTCATACTGACACCATTTGTAATTTATGTTATTGATCAAGACTTTATATGTGACAAATTGACATATGTCACAGACTGTCTTGAGAACTCAGGGCTGTGGGGAGACATTGTGTTTTGGCACCAGGAATTATGTGGCTGCGATGGGAGGGCTTGCTTTAAAATCAGTTCTCACGAGAACTGTCACCAGAGTTCTCGTACATTATGTATGTACAGCCTTTATTGACAAGGGAGATAATTCATGTGTAACCAGACCGCCACTTACCTGATCAGGTGGTTATTTGCTACTCTGCTACTTGACACAGGTAATTGGAGCTCGCGGGAGACATACAAGACGACTTGTTGGACGAGGGGGTAGCTCCTCCGGCCCGTACTGACACTACACCATGTTTCTTGATTTACTATCTTTACTGTACCATAAGCGGATCCTCCAGAGGGAGCCCCCCCCCCCTTTTTTTTTTTGAAAATCAAAGGTAGTATGCTGTAGGCTGTAAACTTATTTGAGAGAGGATTTTATTGTTTGGGATCCCTCTCTTTTAGAAAATGTTGGATCCGCCCTTGTATACTGACAAAATCACTTGGCAAACCTGTTGAGATTAGATCCTTTCTGATTCAGTGCATATCAAGATGTTATATTATGATCGTCGTGGTTTAAGAAATATATTAGTAGTAATATTTGTAGTAGTAGTAGTGGTGGTAGTAGTTTGTTTGTTTGTTGTTTAATACCGCGCTCAGCAAATCTTTTCAGCTATATGACGGCGGTCTGTAAAACATCGAGTCTGGACCAGACAATCCAGTGATTAATATCATGAGTATCGATCCACACGCAATTGGGATTGATTACATGCATCAACCAAGTCAGCGATCCTGACCACCCGATCCCGTTATTTGCCTCTTACGACAAGCATAGTCGCCTTTTACGGCAAGCATGGGTTGCTGGAGACCTATTCTACCCCGGATCTTCACGGGTCAGTATAATAGTGGTGGTGGTACTAGTACTACTACTACTACTACTACTACTACTAGTAGTAGTAGTAGTAGTAAAAGTTTTGTTTAACCCCCCCCCCCCCCCCCCCACACACACACACACACACACACACAACACACACACATAAATATTCCAGCTATATGAGTCTTTAGTAGAGGCAGTTGGTAGTGTCTTGATATTGGTAGCGGTTGTAGTAGCAATAGTGTTTAACAGTTATCAGGTGTATTATTAATTCATTGTTCTATACAATATGCACACGTGAATAAAACAAAATAAATTTTAAAATGTCATTTTCCCAATATTCGTTACTATATTCTTTCAAAGGGTTCTAGATATGATTCATACTTGCATTTGGTGAAAACGGTTCTATTCTGATATTGGATTAAAAAGAATTAAAAAAATGTCTAACTGGTTTTAAACCAGTATATTTTCCTATGTCCCTGCTTGTATACAGCCAAACAACGCGTATAAATAGCGATGCATTTACAGTGGCTATTAATACTAATAAGGCGAAATGTACTCTTGTGTAAAACTCCCAAACTGGAGAGTTTCTGCGGGGACCAGGAAGAATAAAGCTGCTTTGATTGCACCTAATGCTAAAAACGAGCTTGTGTGTTTATACAGCCGGCTTCGTATTACCAGTCGAGTATATTTCCGAGACAACTGCGAAATAGCTAGAAAATTGCCACTGCCTGATAGTATTGGCGTGGTAAACAGCGGGAAATCTCCTCATAGGGAAGGGATTCCTTGGAATGACGTCATTGTGTTGATAAAATGAGTTGGCGTTTTTTTATTTTTAACGCACGCTATGATTGGTCTATTTTTTTCTCAGGAATGCCGTGGGATTTCCCTTAGAATAATCGGTAATTTTTCTCCAAATCAGTTGTAGTCAACAACACGCGTGCATGGTTGTATAACACTTTATACATCTCGCGGAACATCAGGTATAGTGACTAAGTCCCAAAGTTAGTGCAAAGTTTATGGGTCAAACAAGGTGCGCGTTGCCGTTTATACCAGCCAATCACGTTGCACCTTCCAAATCGCTCTTGGCCATTGAATGCAGATTACGCCTTTCCTAATAGGGACATGTCGAATTGAGTCAGCGGAGTTCTACTTTTCGAGGACGAGAGATCGTACTAAGTGTCAACAGTACGTAAATACACACCTATTACCGCTGTGGATGGGGGAATTGTAGTTTACGGATTTCATTTAGCAGCGAAGCGAAACACTAGACAGTCGTCTGTTCGGCGGAAGCTAAACGGGATAGTTCGCACTGTGACCGATAATATCCCGTGTTGCTTGCCTTATCTGCCTCCCTCGAATCTGGAGGTGTTGTGCTCTATCGGTTTGTTGTCATAATTCGACGACTGGTGTCACGTCTGATATTGTCTCTGGCAAACACCACTTGTGTGATTTCATTTGGATTTGTTAATCATCGACGAACTACACAAAACTGCCTCGTTTTAGCGCGGCTTTGTGGAACCCAATGCTCTTGCTCGGACGGATAGGCCTAGATCTACAACCATGAGTGTTCAGGGACATGTATTCAACCCGCGCTAAAGTTTGAAATCTTTGAAGAACCCAAGATTTATTTGTGTGTTTCAAGATTGGATTGTAGCTAGATACAATGGCATTTATCGCAGACGCAGGGAGAGTGGATGGGTCATGGGAACTCACGATCACCGTGACGGATTTGCAAGTTGAGAAAACGCTCCGTGTAAAAGGAGATCTGCATATCGGAGGCTTGATGCTAGAACTCGTTGAGGCACTAGGTAGGTTTCTCTGCTGCTATATGTAACACTGTTTCTCTCCCTATGCCATCGGTAGACGCTATTCAACAACATGTGTGATAGCCACATGTTTCGCACACGTTTCGATTGTGTCAGTAGTTGGTAAACAAAGAAACGTACATTGTTCTGTCTCGTTATGCAATGTGACGATCGTTAAAAACAGAATTGAACAACATCAAGCATTGTTCAAGTATACACATAAATTGTAACCAAGGTACTAGTTAGACAGAATGTATTCAACATACACACATTACGTTTTAAATACAGAAGTCCCACACAATATATTTATACAAGACGTCCTATGAATATGTGATGCAGCCATGTTGATTGACATGTGGGTACAGTATGAAATAATGCCACAAGTTCTTCGTTAATTGCATCCCCGAAATCAGCACCTGAGCCTGTGTGGTCATTCAAGCAGAAAACTCCAAATAACACCTGATTTCCCAACTGAAACAGGAGTCCATTCCAGAATGCTAATTGGCTGCGAGATGACCATTAAATAAACAATAATAGATCATTTAAGTATAATCAGGTTGCAAATTGCAGCTAACAATAGCCCCTTTGAATTGGGAACACCACCTTAATTAGTGTTGTGTCATGCATTGTCCAGTCCTATTAGAAGAATGTTAATGAGGTGTGTTGAAATGTGAATTATTGTAAATACCGTGATGAATATATCGGACGAAGTTGACCCATATTCATGAGTGTTTACCTGCTTCTTTATTGATTTCCTGATTATTTCACCTGTTGACCTGGTTTTATTGCTCTTTAGTTACAAAAGTGTTATTGCGGTTAGAGCTGTTTATACAAACCATAAACAACAGCTATCTGCTCAGCACATTCGTTGTAACTATCAAACAGAATTTTTTCTTTGACGATATTGACTAGAAATAAAATCATTCAACTAGTATGAATGCTATTTCAGACATGTCAAATGTATATACAATTTGATCTTGTTCATGAATAATAATACAGTTGTTGCATGTATATTATATTTTTATGCACCAATTCTGTACCTTATTTGAATACATTATGGATCATTTGGACAATTATTTTAATGTCAATATTGATTCTAGATATACAGCTACTCTATTATTTTGTGTTTTGTCAGCACTACAAAAAATAATAATTGTTATCTTCTAGGCATATCTACTAAATATTATGACAGTTTTACGTTCTAGAGTCTGTCCTTGATCCATCCATCACAGGCAAATACGTATCTAAAAGATAAAGTTACGTCTTGAAGTAAGAAGTCAAGATTTTATGTAAACATTAATTGAGCTCATGATCCAAAATACACAAAATGTCACTTGTTATTAGTTATCTTGGTGGCCAGTGTTGGCTCAATCTGTCACTGTTTATCAGAGCAAGATATAGCAGGGTGCACAGTCAAGTCAGCTGAAACTTTGCCATTCCTAACATTCCAATGATGGCCACTTTATAACTGTGACATAATTTACGGGATGGTATACTTATCTTCTCTTGTAGAAACTGGCAGTGGAGATCATGTGACACACCCCTGGGGATTAACACAGTGTAATGTACATTGGACACACAAGTCTCTAGTGTCATGCCAAGATGTGTACATTTCATTGCCTCATTATAACATGAAACAGGGATACATTGTTAATCTTGGCATTTGCGTGTCAGGAGATGTGCAACCTGACAATTAGAGTCACAGCTACTTTTGAAAGATCTAATGCCAGAAAGACATAATCAGGGAAATTTAAACACACAAATGAAACCGTAAAACCTTACGTTTGTTTCTTCAAAATTAGCATTCAATTCTGATCTAAATGCTTGAGCCATGATATCTAGCAATCAAGTGTGAATTTCCTTCCACAATACTTATTTCCTATATTTTACTAATGTCAAATACGTTTTAAACATAATGTGAATTAAAAACAAATTTTATTTTTTGTCATTTTCAACTACTTGTAAATATGTTTTAAGTATACTGCCAATTATCGAACTAAAAATGTTATTGGAGTAGAAGCAATTCCATCCTAGATTGAAGGATATATGATTAGTCATTGACTGCAAATGAAACGCATTAGCGTGCAAGGACATTATAAGTGTTTTCCTGAGAAGCGTAGATGTTTCTTGAAATAACAAGCTGGCATAGAGGTCTCCAGCTCAGTGGAAATATATTCGGCCCCCGATGTGTTGTAGCGACTGCACATTGAAGCCAAATGTCAGATGTATTTGTGGCCAACATTCCTCAAACGAGTGTATCAGTGCTGTGACATTTTAATCTACAGTACTTGGACATGTATACAAGCATTCTCGTTTACAAGGCTTTGCTCACGTTGAAGTTGGGGGATGTCCCAAAGACAAAACACAATGCCCAAAATACGATATAAGGATAATATTTCAGTGGTCAAAAGTAAGCTTAAAAGACTAGGGGTCCTTGTCATAACCCTTATGTTGAATGTTAGAGATTGATGGGCACCGTGTTTGAAATACCATAGAAGCAAACCTCCTAAATCCCAGTAACCCCAAGTTTTGAACCCTCATATGACATGCTGTATATTGTTGTTGTTTGTTGTTTAACGCCGCACTCAGCAATATTCCAGCTATGTGACGACAATCTGTTGATAATCAAGTCTTGACCAGACAATCCAGTGATTGACAGCTTGAGCATCGATATACACAATTGGGATACGATGACATGCATCAACCAAGTCAGCGAGTCTGACCACCCGATCCCGTTAGTCGCCTCTTACGACAAGCATAGTTGCCTTTTACGTCGAGCATGGGTTACTGAAGACCTATTCTACCCAGGATCTTCTCGGGTTTACTATTGTTTATTTTCACATAATAAATAAGTATTGTAAGTATTGTTTACACTGCATTACAGTCACTGATGGGAAAACCAAACTGTTTTTCAACATGACCTGACTGTTTTCAGTGGATGTACGTATTTTGTCGTTTTTAGTGTTAAAAAGTCATCAGTTTCTGCTTGGCTGTTTTGGACATTAGTTACAATCTTTGTCAATGGGTGCATTGTCATGGCAACAAGAGGGTGCTGAAGTGTAGTATTGTTACATCCGGAATCCTTATGCGAAGTTCTGAAGATTTCTCAAGTTAACGTGACAAAGCCTGCCATACTGGATTGTATCATGCTGTGACCTTCAGCTGGGATAATTATGGTTGTAAACACAACAGGTGTCTGGTTTTGTGAAAATTATATTTTAGCTTGATAGAAATAAGCGTTCCCTCGCTTAGTCGAAACTGTTTTTAGGGGTGTCAACATAGATCTTTCATGACCAGTATTCCAGCTAGTTAAACACAACAGGTGTTTGGTTTTGTCAAAATTATACTTTAGCTTGATAGAAATAAGTGCTCCCCAGCTAGTCCAAACTATTTTTAGGGGTGTCAATACATATCTTTCCAGTATTCCAGCTAGTTAACTTTTAAGGATGAGTTTGAAATCTATTGCTATTTATTGGAATCAGGCTGCACAAACCTTGATAGGCTTTTCATTCAGGCATGTGTCGACAGGCTCCCAATACAAGCTTGTGTTGGCAGGCATCTAATACAAGTTTGTGTCCACAGGCTCCTAATACAAGCTTGTGTTGGCAGGCTCCTAATACAAGATTGTGTCAGCTGACTCCTAATACAAACTAGTGTCAACAGGCTCCTAATACAAATGTGTGTCAACAGGCTTCTAATACAAGCTTGTGTTGGCAGGCTCCTAATACAAGCTTGTGTTGGCAGGCTCCTAATACAAGATTGTGTCAGCTGACGCCTAATACAAGCAAATGTCAACAGGCTCCTAATACAATTTTGTGTCAACATGCTCCTAGTACAAGCTTGTGTTGGCAGGCTCCTAATACAAGATTGTGTCAGCTGACTCCTAATACAAGCTTGTGTCAGCTGACTCCTAATACAAACTTGTGTCGGCAGGCTTCTAATGCAAGCTTGTGGGGACAGGCTCCTAATACAAGATTGTGTCAACAGGCTCCTAATACAATCTTGTGTAAACAGGCTCCTAATACAAGCTTGTCTCAGCTGGCTCCTAATACAAGCTAGTGACGGCAGGCTTCTAATGCAAGCTTGTGTCAAGATTACTAAAACAAGCTTGTGTGTGGAGTTTATGACGCATGTCTGCAGTTATGTTCAGCTTGAGATAACCCATGGTTCTGTCCAGGTTGTATATCGCAAGTATGTGGGACTTGCACGAGACTTTAACTCGTGTGATGTAATTTGATCTCATTCAAGTCACCAGGAGTGAAGTGTTGAAAACAGATCCCACAGAAGTTTACAAATATGGGAATGGTGCCTCTTGACTTTTGACGTTTACTACTTCAGAACAGGTGGACATTGTGCGCTGAGGTCACTGGCCTCCTCATGTGTAGATGTTGCTATACGATCAATTAATTATCAGTCAACCAATAAAAAGTGTGAAATTCAGTCTTAGGATTTCTTCAACATTAGACTAGGGAAGGTTGGGTACTGCCAAGTTGCATCTCTGTTACATGTTAAAAATTATGCATGAAATATAGTCTGGTATCTTTATTATAAGTATAAGAGAATTTTCATTCAGGATTAATATGTTGCAGTGTCCAAATCAAGTAACAAGCCCCTTAATTTCTATCAGTAACACTACTGAATATGGTTTGTATGGAGAATATTTTGACCAAGTTTATACCTTTGCCAGTGATTCTGACGGAACCAATTTTAAGCCATAATGATTTCTGACGGAGACTACCTAACGGAAATGAAGGTGGTGTTATTTGATGGAGGATCAGAGACTATCCATGCCATCCTGCCTTGATGGCGGTAATGAAACCTCATCCTTAGGATCATAATGAACATGCCTGCATATCTCCTGCCCCCTGCTGGCCATTTGATGGACATTTTCAGCTTACCTTACCGCAGTCGGTCGGCCCAGGAATGGGGGAATTACATTTGTGTGTTTTTCTTTGATGTGTGGGCCTCGCTCCTCGGGTCTTCTTGGCAGAGGAATGTGTGTA